CCGCTCTAACTCAATCCCCCTCTCCTTCCCCAGAGCCAGGCACCGGCCCCCCTCTATACCAATCTCCCTGCCCCCCCGCCCATACCTAATTCTCGGGTCCCGGAGGCAGAGCTGCCACTACAGCTGTGCATCTCCCTTCAGGCGCTGGGGCGCATGCGCTGAGCAGCCAGCATGTTGAGTGGCCGGCACACTGTGCGCACCACCCACACCCCTTCCCCAGACACCTCCACTGCCTAACTCAATATCCCTCCTCCACTAACCTTATGCCCAGGTCCCAGAGCTGCCGCACCCAGAGACGCTGCCTGAGCTCAGCAGCCAGCTGCTAGCACGTGCAGGCTGGGATGCTGTGTGCGACCCGGCCTGCACGTGCAGGATATGATGTAGTGCGCTGGAGGCCATGAGCAGAACAGCGCACGTGGCTCACAGTGGCCCAGCCGTGACAACGGCTGACCTGAGTGGTTCCAGGTTCCGTCCCAGTTCCATCAGGAGCCGCAATTTTTTTCTTCATGAGGTGGCTCGCAAGCTGAGGGTTGGCCACCCTGATCTAGGCAGTGTTTGATCCTGCCATGAGGGCAGGGGACTGGACTTAATGTCCCTTCCAGTTCTAGGATTCTATGTGAGGTATTTCATGTGCATACATCACTGATTCAGTTTACAACAGGATCTCAATGGGCAATGTTAAAATATAGTAAAAAGATGTAGGGGACTGCACAACAGGAAAAGTCATAGAATATTGGAATAAATAAATCTTGTTGGGGCCACAATTTTAGTGATTTAAGAAATAATCACTTTTGATTATCTACTATGATAAAACTACACTTGATCTTAGCCAACCTAAACCCAGAAATAGGAAGCACAGTGAAGATAACTCCTTGAATCCAGAGAGGTATAAAGACTGAAGTTAAGCTTATCCTAAAATTACATACTTTTCAGAGTAGAGAATTACTTTTTCACATTATACTGCGAAGGAAGAGATTTTCACCTTTATAATGGCAAGAACTATACAAAATCCCAATTGGGACACTGGGAAAAAGTTCAAATATGTTTGTTATTGGTGATAAAGCATACAGTGTGAAGGAAAGTCTTACCCATTAAACTCAATGCAATTTGGAGTACAGATCACACACATGCTATGTTGGGATTACATACGACAGCTTCCCTGATTTGGTACTGGCTCTGTACCCACCTCTGTCTCTTGCAGCCGATGTCCGATGAGGCTCAGAGATTCACCCAGCAATTGTAGATGTGCAGCTACATCAATGGGATCTGTATCAGGAACTTTGGCTGGTGAGGAGGATAAAACCACAGTGCTGGAGGGGGACTTCTTATGAGGTGAAAGCATACCTGCTGGGGAAGCTTAAAATAGATGTATATAAACATTTATCATCACCTCTCTCTCCTTTACTGACAAGTCTGTTTGAATTGTAAGTTCTTTGGGATTGAGACAATATGCAAAGCACCAACCCCACTTCTTGGCACTGTAAAAACAACTAATATTAATATAGAAGTGATGGGAGATTCTCTCAAACAGAGATGCTAAACTAACCATATTTATTTTTAAATTCTAGACTCTAGTACCCACCTAAACTTCTCCCTGTTTATTCTTGCTTTATATCCCCCATCATCAAGGTGCTGCTTGAATGATATCATTTTTATATAGTCAGGGCTGGAAAGGATGCTCTTTTGAAACCTATCAACACCATTCCTCAATCATGAGGGACCATTTTTGAGTAAGAGGATAACCAGACATCAAAACTCATGGTGAAGGAGGAAAGAGCAGGAGATGTTTTCTCTATTCCCTAATGCATAGGTAATACTCTCTCCTTTCCCCAAAGCCCTGAACAAATGGGGTGGGGCTATTACCTTTCACTTTTGGGGCACCCTCCGATGAGGCTGCCTTCCTCTTCACTGTTGTGGCCTCTGCTTTATTCTGCTTATGCTGCAGATATTGAGCTTTCTGCTTCCATACCTGCACAGAATATGGAAAGAAAAGTAGAATTCAGACCATTAGGCAAACCTGCTGCCAGGATTTGAGGGGTGGATAGCAGATGTCTAAATAACTCTCAGAAGCAGAAACATTTTTGTTAGAATGGGGCTGAGAACATCCAATTCCTTTACTGTAGGGGACTGCACACAAGGCAGTGCTGGCAGTGTGAGAGGATACAGGCTACTAATTTGGAGAACTTATTCTACAAATAAATATATACAGGTGCATACGTACCAGTTTATCCTTCTCAGGCAGCTGCTTCCACACTTCTGCCAGTTTTTTGCTCAACTCCCCAAAATCTAGGAGGAAAAGGGGAAATAGCAGTAAGAGGAAAGGTTAATAAAAAAATCAAATATAAAAATGAACCAAGAGAAGATAATGGAAAGTTTGCATAAATACCAAAAGTTCAGGAAATGGGCCCATACATATGCTGTTAGTGAAGATTCTGTACCACAGCTAGAACCACCTATAATTTGGAGATGATTTTCTGTAGTCTCAATCTAAAAGGAACAGTCTCAGAGGGTAGTAGCCCTGTTAGTTTGTAACTTTAAAAACAACTTTTAAAAATAACACGCAGTCCTGTGGCACCTTAGAGACTAACACATTTTTTATATGTATATACACACAGTTCATGATACTACGCATATATTTTTGTTATGTGAATGCTGGGCACATACACCTGCATGGAGGAACATTGAATATATGGAAGGCTGCACAACACACTATTGGAGACAGTTTCAAAGTAAAAGGAAGTTATTTAAATTCACAGCTGAGTTGAAACACTATGATATTAGATCATGGAAGCCTCTCCTTTTCACTTTGCTGTCACTTATTTAAAGCATCTTGGCAGACTCTTTGCACTCCAGCATCAATAGCGGGTGTTGGGACAAAACAAGACTATAACTTGGCAACCTGACGGGACTGTCTCAATGATCAATGTATATGAACAGAAGAAGCTAGGTTATTCTCTTACCTATCCCTGGATGCTCTGCCACAATGGTCACCCGATATTCCTTACAGAACACTTGGTAGGCAGACATGTTCTTCTTCTTTGGCTAGTCACAAGGAGAAAAGAAAATACCTCTTTACATTTAAATTTGGCTGACTCCTGCAAGATCTCTGCCAATGCATGCAATTTCTGATCTGAGGCAATCCCTGCTATTCTAGTTTAGGAACAACATCCAATTCTGCTGACACACCTCAGTTTTGACATGCAGCACCTTTCTGATCCCATTCCTAGGGCTATGTCTAACACATGAGCCAGGGATACAATTCCCCTGCTAGAGTACACAGGCTTGCACTAACTATCATTGAGTTAATGTGAGTAAGAAAAGCAGCGTGGCCTCAGTAATAAAACAGTGGTAGTGGAGGCAAGGCTGAGCTGTTCCAAGTAAACCCCAAGATTGTGGTGCAAACGAAGGCTAGGACGTAAGGCAGATATGCCAATTCAACTCAGTCCTGACAAACAAGATCCTCTCTTATTCCAGTCCTACGATTTCTAAGGGATTAAGATACTAGAAGTACAGCAACTGTGGTGGCAGAGGCGATTGTCAATCTGCGCTCAAAGACAATCTACATTTAATTTTAGATCTTATTTTATTAAGTGAAGGTATTTATATGTTGGTTCACTTGGGTTATTCCTGCTTAATTCCTGACATAATACAGCTCTGTGTCCAATCTGTTGTTCCCACCTGTATACAGAAAGATGGCATTGTTCTAATTATTACCATATCACTCATACTGTATTACATTTTTCTCCACTACCAATTTTATAAATTAGCCATGGATACCCGATGCTCTAGATTCTCAGCATAGAATGGAACTAAGAACATGGTCCCGCTACAAGATTAATATCTTATTTTTCTTTAATTTAGGAGATATTGGACAAATACTCCAACTTCAGCATAGACTTCTTTTCCCTTGCCATATTTTACCAAATCAGTGGCCATTCTGATCCAGTAATCTGCCTGGCAATAGCCAGAATCAGATGTTTCAGAAAAAAAGTGTGAGAAACTCCCAAATAAGAAATTATGGTACAATTTGTTAACAGAAGTTTCTTACTTTTTGTTTTAGATAAAGTTAGAGGATAGTTTATTCTCTGAAATATCACATAACTGATCTTCTGCAAAAATGTTTCAACAGGGAAACAATAGTTGGATAGTTAATTTTTTTCTTCCTTAGGTTTCTGGGTGGACAGGACAGCTCTTGCCTCAAAGACCTACTTTTTTAGTTTATACTTGGATCACATTTTGAAGCTTATTTTCATAAAAATGGGAATTATAATTTTTTGTAAACAAAGACTCTGCTTCTGGAACAATGGCAATGGTTTTGTGGAAATTCTGCTGCCAAAATACAAGGCATCTTATCCAGTGTTACCCATTATAGAGGAGTCACAATTTGTGCTGCCTATTTTATCTACCACTCTCTACCTTTTCTTTATCCCTTTCTGTTCTCTCAGCTTTTTCTTTCTCCTTCTCTTCTTTCTTCTTTTTCTTCTCACTTTGCCCATCTGTGTGGAAAACAGGAGGTGGGGGGAGAGGCACAGGAAGGACGAATGGGGTGGTGGGTGGAGGGGGTGGAGGTGGTGTTGCCATAATTTCTGCCACTGCCACAGAGGCAGAGTGTCCAGAACTCTTCTTAGACTTAGAGTGCTTTTTCTCCTTGTGTTTCTCTTTGTCCTTCTTTTTTTTGCTCTTCTTTGACTTCTTCTTTTTCTTGATCTCCCGGTAGGAGTCATCTATCACTAGCTCTCCAGCCTCCAACTCCCCACCTGATGATGAACCAGATTCCAGGGGGGGCTCCATACTGGAAAGATCATAGTCACTCCCATGGCCTTCTGAGAACAGAGATGTGTCAGGGCCAAATCCTTCAGGAATTGGAGGTGGGTGTGGGTCTGGTGGTGGTTTATGCTTCTTCCGGGCTGATTTCAGGAAGCTTTGAAGCTCATGACCCAGGAGGAAAGAGCCTTGTTCATCCCGAGCTGATTTCTTGGAGGATTTTTTTGCTGCTGCTGGAGGTGAAGAGTATGGGAATGACTCTTCATCTACTGTGCTGCCCCCTTTCTCTTTAGGTGAAAGGATGAGTTTCATTTTCAAGCCATCAGGCTCACGCAAGGTCAGTGTCTCTGTGTTTACATAAAGAGGCTTCATCTTTTTGGATTTGCGGAAGCTGTCATCGTCCAGTGAGAGCTCACCACTGCTACTACTCAGCTTCTTCTTATGGTGCTCCTTCTTGCTCTCTGAATAGCCAGTGGCAACAAAGGAAGAGAAGGATGATTTTTCAGATGTCTTTTTTGAGGTCTTGGAACCCGTGGCAAGAGGTGAGGTGATAGCTTTGAGAAGATCCATGGCTGTGTCAGAAGAGGTTGGGCTTGACACTGTTTTTTTCTTCTTTGATGGCAACTCCAAAGGTGAAAAGTCTGAAAAAGACCAAAATAAATTCAACTGAGAGGAAGCAGTACATGACATTTCCTTCTATGTCAGCTTGAAGAGGAGGAGTGATAAATCCCCCAGTGCTTCTGGTACTCAGAGATAAATGGTTGCCTTTCTGCCTTATAGAGAAGTCCTCTGATTTTGTTGCAAAGGAATACTGATCATAAGAAACAAGACTACTGAGAAATAGAAGCTGGGGGCTTCTGGCTAGTTATAAGCATCAACTGTTAGGATAATTCTGTGGTCATATTAAAACGCAGAGACACAGGTATGACCATCCCAAGACACAAATATATAACTGAAAAGTCAGAGGAACCAGTATTACCTTGAGTATTATGAATATTGTTATTATGTATTATTTATACTACGGTAGCATAAGCTTTCCAGTCAATGGCCAGGATCCCATTGTGATAGATACTGTATAAACAGAAGAAAAAGACAATCTGTGTCCCAAAGACCTTATGTTCTAAGAAAACCCATAGCTTGATCTTTCAGAGAGAAACAAGTACAAATGTCACACAGGCTGTGTCTAGACTGGCATGATTTTGCGGAAATACTTTTAATGGAAAAGTTTTTCCGCTAAAAGTATTTCTGTAAAAGAGTGTCTAGACTGGCACGGATGCTTTTGCGCAAAAGCATCCGTGCCCAGTATAGACGCACTTTTGCGCAAGAAAGCGCTGATGGACATTTTAGCCATCGGGCTTTCTTGCGCAAAAAATTAAGGTGACTGTCTACACTGGCCCTCTTGCGCAAGTATTCTTGCGCAAGAGGGCTTATCCCTGAGCATGAGTGTCAAAGTATTTGTGCAAGAAGCACTGAATTCTTACATTAGAACGTCAGTGCTCTTGCGCAAATTCAAGCGGCCAGTGTAGACAGCTGGCAAGTTTTTGCGCAAAAGCAGCTGCTTTTGTGCAAAATCTTGCCAGTCTAGACGCACCCACAGAGAGATGTGTAGAATTGCCAACTTCAAGAGATCAAAAATCATGAGTCAGACCTCCAAAAATTATGAAACTGTTCTTCCAAAAAAATCAAGAGATTAAAAAAGGAGATTATATTGAGTTTTGAGGTCAGTCTTTTGATTTTTGCACATACTCTGCTCATCACCAGAGTTGTGGCATGGGACAAGTAGTATTGCCCACTCTCCCATATGAGCTGGAGAAAAGGATCTTAGCACCAGCTGCAGGAGCTCTCAACTCACACATCCACCCATCTCCAGCAATTAATCTGTGCTCCCGTTATCATCATCCCCCCTTCAGGTCAGTCCCATACCCCAACAATCCATATTGCCCCTCAGTTCACCCTCCCAGCACTCACCCCCTCTGCTCAGCACCTACCATCAATATAGACCACCCTCCCCCTGCCGCTCATCAGCACCCAACCTCTTCACTTTAGCTCCCCTTCAACACTCAAGTCATAATTTGCTCCCCCAGCCTCATATCTGTTCTTCTTAAGATTCTTCACTCTCCTCGGGTCTGTGGGGGCTGCAGTGGTGTCCCCTCTCCCACTTCCCAGACTGTCAGGGAGCTGGCTGGGGTTGACAACCAGAGCCCACAAAAAGTGGCTCCCGCTGTCAGTCGCAGGTGATGGGGACAGGAGAGGTTAATAATAGGAGCCCCATCAGCCCAGGGCTGATAGTGATTTCCATGTCATGTTAAGCCTCACTCATGATCTTGGGATAGAAATCTCAAACATCAGGGCTACGTCTACACTGGCATGATTTTTCGGAAATGCTTTTAACGGAAAAGTTTTCTGTTAAAAGCATTTTCGGAAAAGCGCGTCTAGATTGGCAGGACGCTTTTCTGCAAAAGCACTTTTTGCGGAAAAGTGTCCGTGGCCAATCTAGACGCGGTTTTCCGCAAAAAGGCCCCGATCGCCATTTTCACAATCGGGGCTTTTTTGCAGAAAACACTACCGTGCTGTCTACACTGGCCCTTTCGGGCAAAAGTCTTTTGGAAAAAGACTTTTGCCCGAACGAGAGCAGCATAGTTTTTCTGGAAAAGCACTGATGATTTTACATTAGATCGTCAGTGCTTTTCCGGAAATTCAAGCAGCCAGTGTAGACAGCTGACAAGTTTCCCCAGAAAATCAGATGATTTTCCGGAAAAACCTTGCCAGTGTATACACAGCCCAGGAGAGCAGCAGCTGCTTGTGAGGCACTTAGTTCAGAACACAAACCCCCTTTCCCCGTTGTGGCAGGACCCCTACTTATAACATTGTGAAATTTCAGATTTAAATATCTGAAATCATAAAATATATAATTTGTAAAGTCCTATGACTGTGAAAATTACCAAAATGGTCAGTAAATTTAGTAAGGCCCTACCAATCAGGTTTCCTGCTCCTCAGCCTCAATCTTGCATTCTTTCTATCCTTACCTCTGTAGAAGAACTCATCAGAGGAATGCTTCCTCTTCTTCTTATGAGATTCTGTGGCCAAGAAGAAAAGGTCGCTGTCCTGGAATCAGAGAAGAAAAGGAGCTGAAAAAACAGTAGGAAAACAAAAACAAATTCATACTGACAGTTGACACAGATAATCTGGAAACTACATTTGACACTAAATACACTCTCTGTTCATTCAGCAGTTTAAAAATTAAGTCTGGGTAATTTCGTGAGTGATAGAAAATGTTTAAAAAATGCCAGAAAAATGTTTTTTGCTACACTTGCAAAGGTCTTAACCCTCCCAACCTTAAACTAGTCACCTCTGGGATGACAACAGGCGGCACAAATTTCAGCTCAAAATGGTTGCTATTACAGTATTAACATGCTCAGGTGTTTAATAATGAAGTTAACATCTCTCAGAATTACCATTTCAGGCTGTCTGCATAATCAAGACAATAACACTGTATCAGTTTACATTCTGAAGATTATCTATGCAACCGTAAGGTCTAGAACTTTTTTATAGGACAATCTGAAATTTCTGCTTTCCAGCTAGGAATATTTCCCTACTCATCCACCCTGAGGGCACAAATCACAGATAACAATTGATGACAATCCTCACAGCAAAGCAATGGCACTCTTTGAAGGATTGTATGCTGCCAGAGTGATATGAAACATTCTTGCTGTTTTCCATAGAACGTCATTGGTCATTTTCACAAAAGGGAAACTGCAAACTCTCCCAATTCAATCCCAACAGAAGATTTCAAGTGCATTTTCTCACCTTCAACCTTTTTTTTGAGGTCTTTCTGACCTGAGCTGCTATTTCCTCCTCTTCCCGTAGTAGATCCTTGTAAGAGCGTTTTTTCTCTCGTTGGGTTCTACCTGCTGCCAGCCCCACGTCATCAATGCTTCGGTCAACCTCTAAGCACTCTATATTTGAGAGTGTGGTGAGAAAAGGAAGGATTGAGACACCCCATTAAGGAACACAGGAAGCAAATTCATTCCACATAAAATGCATCACAATCACAGAGGTAAAATTTGAAACGGACTGATGTACAAAAGAATACTTGGGAGTAGGAATTAGTGTGCTGTGCTGCCCCACCAGAAGGGAAAAGGCTCAATACTGGACAATAACCTACAAGAGATATAAGGTTCCATTCCTGGTCTTGGTTTCTTTCTCTCCAAAGTCACAAGGAGCTGGGGATGATGCTGAGACTAAAACCAAGGTCTAGAGATTACTATGCTGCTGTGAAGATTTAAATGCTATTCCCCATTCCTGTTCTATTGACAGGAAAAATAAAATGGTGCAAGGGCAGAGTTCAATAATGAACGTTAGAAATCTGAGATGCCATGTGCAAAACCCATGTTCTAGTCCCAGCATCTCACTTCCTGATGCCATGAGAGACTTGGAATGCTGCAGAAACCCAGCCTAATGCCCTAGGCTTTGCATTCTGTACTGCCATGCAGGAGACCGGCTTTCTTTCCCTCTCTCCACTCCAAGGGCTTGCAGGGCCTGTAGAGGGTACCCATTTTGAACACCCTCTCAGATTATGAAGCAGTCATACCTTCTTTTTTCTTGGAGTCATCATAAGCCATGGCGGTCCTGCAGGAGCCTGAGAATGTGTTGCCACGTCTGGGCTCTTTCCCCCGTTCCCGTTTACAGGACAAGGTCTAAGAAACAGAGAATGAGAATAACCCTCCCATAAAGTGGAATCATAATGGAGAAAAGGGAATTTCCTATTGAGAACTGGAGACTCACAGGAAGAACGTGGCAAATTAAGTGTGCCTCCTTGTCTGCTCAGGCTCACAATTGAGGGATGGGAAGATTGGCAGAAAAACCACCAAACTTCAGGGTAGCTTGCTTTTGCTGATTCCCCTGTTAAAAGTTTGGAGGAGTTTGATTGTCTTAGGAGAGAACAAGCCTCCCTTCTTTCTGATGAAGCCTTACATTTGGAAACATCCTGTAATTTATTTCAATAAAATGTAAAATGAGTGAGCAAATGGTTTGTTTTGGCTTCTATGTTGGCATTATGCTTTCTCCTTGTCAGCACTGTAGCAAAGAGTGGGGTCTTTAAAGAGACAAATTCTAATCCCGTGAATCTCAGATGAAGAATTTGGAGAGTGAAAAGCCCGCAGCTGGATACCAGCCCTGTCCAAGGTCCAATGACCTAAGATCTACTATATTAATTGAAGATTTTGGAGTGGAGGTGTGCATCTTTTCTGAAATTCTTGCATTCTCCCACTCTGGTACTGTAGCAATTTTGACAGCCAATTTGGGTGATGGGAGAATAAGTAGAAGGGGGAAAAAGCCCCATTTCCTTTTCCTAAGGGTTCTGCAGCACTCCCAGCCTCTGGCAACTCAGGAAGTTCCATGTCTTTCCTTAATGAATCATTTACTCTCAGATGTTGGTGCAGGTAAGAGGAGACATGCACCTTTGCCATTGTGGAATAGCTGGATTCAGATTAGCTCTCGGAAAACAACTTGTGTTCTTCAGTCAGAGACCAGCTTCGTGGTAGAAGTTCAACTTTTAAAAGTCAAGTTATCCTTCCATATTATTTAGCTCCCATCTGGCTGCAGTTACTCTCCCCCTCCCCCATCTGTGAATAAGAGACCAAGCAGCCGATATTGCGAATGGCTGAGACACAGTCATGACATCATATTGGAGTTAGAGTTTAAGCTTTAGGGGTAGGGAATTGTCTTGTGTGTTTTGCACAGCTGTGTCTACCTGCAAGTTTCAGAAGCAATTGGTTGATACTACAGTATATTTATTCATGCTTTACCAGTATCCAAAAAGCCCTCCTCACACCTAACATCCACCACTACCATCCCAACTAAGTAGAAAACATTTTTGTTACAATTCATGTGGAGTAGAGGTTAATCTGCATTAATTTTAATATGTTAGAAAAATCATCCACTATAGAAATTAAAGTTTTACAAAAATGTTTACAATGCCATTCATAGGCATGGCATTTCACAAACAGAATTTATTAACAGCATAGCCATGTACAGAAAAATAAAAAAAGAACAAATTCCTTCCCCACAATTATCTTACAATATTAAAGGCCCGTACAGAAAAATAAAAGAGAACAAATACCTTCCCCACAATTATCTTACAATATTAAAGGCCACATATTGACAATTTTACAAGGCATGATGTTTATTTCTGTGATCTGCCCCATTTACTTCAATGGGATCACTCATAACAGGCAATATGCATGATCCTAAATGTTTGTAGGGCCAGCATCTAACAGATACAGCTCAAGAAATGACAGAGAGGGTGTGTGGCGGGAAAGTGAAAGGTTACACCAAGAAAACAGATTTACTTATGGTCATGTTCACCCATTATTAGTCCCTTTTTAAGAGTCAGGAAAAGAAACTCAAAGAATAGAGATTACCAGACAAAGTCCCCACCCAAAAGAGCTCACAAACAGCCCCGATCCTGCAAATATTTAAGCATGTGCGTAACTAAGTACAAGCAGTCCTATCGACTTTGAGGGGGCTCATACATGTAAAGCGCCTTGAGGCCCCCTTCTCCAATGCAAAGCATGCCACTGAGCCCCAGGGATTACCCGTGTGACCTCGGAATTGTTAGGCCCCTAACGGATGCAGGATCAGGCCCTGGCTCAATGAATTCACAGCAGCCCATGGGGGCAGTGTAAGGAACAATGAGGACAACAGAAGCTTCCCGGGCGGCCCCCGGCCCAGCCAGAGCC